ACCCTATCCCAGACTAAAAGACGGAAAATACGGTTTTACAATCGATTGCGATCAACCAGTTACTAACATTTTTATTGTTTTTGTGTCGGCAGAAAGCGTAGCCTATTCGCCAGACAAAAACGACCAAATCATCGTTAACCCTATCCCAGACTAAAATGATACCCTATTCCAGACAAAATGTCAAAAAATGATACCCTACCCCAGACCCAAAAGCCGAAAAACCATACCCTATAGGGCGGCACATACCCGTATAGCAAATATGGGGGAGTACCCCCCCCTCCCCCTCCCGGGCCGGAACACGACGCGCCTTTCCGCAAGTACACCATTATTATCCAAATGACGAACTAAGCACAAACTATGACACGCGTGAGGTTTAGAGGGTGGGTGAACGGTTTGACGACCGGTCACCACCCAATCATTGCAGGTCAATATGTGATATCAATTACGCCTTAAGCTGTCTGAATCAATACTGTTCTTACAGATACAACACTCGTGAAACAAATCTTCTTTGAAATAAGTATTAGGCGCATCTACTAATGAACACTTAAGATCATTGAAAATGCTCAACATACAGCGAGATTAAAAGTGAAAGAGAGCATAGACAACGCGGAGTACCGATAACTCTAAGATAGCTTTGAAAAACTGAAAGATAAGAACACCCGATTTTTCCGAATATATCGGGTCAAGCCGACACACAGGGCAGGTTGCTTCTTTGCCGGTTTGAGTCAGCCATCGTAATAAACATGATGTGTGAACTGGGTGCTTGTAACATCTTGTTTTGTTCTGCTCTAATTCCTAGTACCGGTGACGTGGTTGAATGTACAGAAGAATGGTAAACGGGGTTCCCCATAGCGTCAAGTCATTAACACACGTCTGAGGATCAGAGAAAAAAAAAATTTCACCATTTTTAACAAAGATTTTATTTACAATAACATACGCATTTTAAGAATCCTGTTTGACAATAATAGCATCGAAAATAATTCAACCTTCAATCGATGCAAGTCCTATTCATAAACCAAATTCAAAACTCGCACCGATGTGAGGCTTAAGTTGTGAACAAAGGAATCTGGCGTGATTCGTGACTTTTGAATCACGCCAGATTACTTTGAGTTACGCCCTTTGTTCACAACAAGCCTCACATTGGTGCGAGTTTTGAATTTGGTCTATAGATTCATACATTCTGGTGTCATGGTTACGAAAGGCAAGCCAATAATCATGGTTTATGGGGACCAAACAGTCGTTAACACGGTTACAGAAAAAGCAGTGAGATTTTGGATCAGGACATAAATGACATATACACCTATTTCGAAAATCGTTGTCGCACCAAAAGCCTCAAGCAACAAGCCAAGACCGCAGAGAACGCCGGTAATTTTAGCTGTAATTAGTTTATTCATGGTGCATTTTCTTGCTTGACTTGACTTGCTTTATTGACTTGACACGAATTGCTCCAAGCAAGGCTGCTATAGCCACTTGCATGAACCATGAATAAATCAATTATGATTAAAAGTACCGACGTTCTCTGATTAGAGCCTTGGCTTGTTTATACTTGAGGCTCTTGGTCCACGTCTTAGAGCATTTTTATTGATTTAACACATATGTACAGATGTTTTCCTCATACTAAAATTGTAATTATGATTTCTCTCGCGACACGTTCTCGCTCTCTTTTCAAATCCAAGATTATTAGTACTTCTTCAATGGTGGTTTCGAACTTTTTGCAACGATTCCTGTAGACGGGTGACACACTTTGGGTATCCTTTTGTTCAAGAATCAGTCAGACCGGTAAAATAGTTATATGCTACGGAATCATAGCAGTCTTCATAATGAGCCAGAGTAAATTCACGAAATAACTGTAAAGAACAAAGAAACTCTTAGATATCTACCGTAAATCCTCTATTTAGCCCCCCCTCTCAAATAAGCCCCCCCTCTCTAATACGCCCCGCCTTTTTAAAGGAAAAAATATGTTAAGCCCCCCCTCTCTTTTTAGCCCCCACCCCTCCCCATTTCACGACTAAAGAATCACGTGTACTGATTAAAGGTGATTTATTAAAGTCTTGGTTGTTCAGAACATTTCTTTTTAGCTTGCTTTGTTAMTGTTACCGTGTTTTAGTTTTGCTGTTATTCACAATWATCGTAAATTATACTTGAGAGACTAACACAGGTGAATCAAATAATAAAAATGCCATGTACATCACTACAGATTACGCGAGACAGTCAATAGTAATGCTTCCGTTTAATCCTGAGTTACAATCATTATTACATACTGCGTTTCGACTAAATCAATAAACCCCCCCTCTCAGTTAAGGCCCCTCTCTCCAATAAGCCCTCCCTCAAACGTGCCTGAAATAAATAAGCCCCCCGGGGGGCTAAATAGAGGATTTACGGTAGGTTATACAAAAACTCGAAATCATTATTTAAAAAAAACGTGGATCAAACAAGGCACTTGAACAAAGGTCACATTTAAAGTCTTGAGCTGATAAATCTTTACTGCTACTCTACTTATAATCTTTACTTAGAAAATTTTAAAAATTAATTTTTACAATCAGCTAAAGGATCGAATGTACTAGTAATATGCCAAGGAGGCTAGATGATAAAGTTCCCCTGTATGTCGAGACGAATGATATATAAATGGAGACGGGGATTAATGTGTTGATGAGTTAAAGCCAGTATTTGCTACCTTATTCCACTTAATTTTCGCGACTCCTAAATTTTGCGATTTTTTGATGGCGATATTTCGCGACACTTAATTTTCGCGATTTTCCAATTTAGGTGAAAACTAAGTCACTTCGCGCTTCCTAATTTTCRCTTGACTTTATTTTCGCGACATCTAATTTTCGCGATATTTTTCAAATCGCGAAATTCGCGAAAAATAAGTGACGCGAAAATTAAGTGGAATAAGGTATTTGAAACGTTCAAGATCATTTTCGCTATCACTATTAGCTTTGTATTCGCTGAACCCGCTTTTTTGTAATGATAGTCTAGATAATGAATGATAAAGTTGTGTAAGCGTGGGAATGTAAGTATCATGTTCTGCTCTATGTAAACGGCTTAATAATGCTTTCATAACCGCAAATGAACAGCCTGGGTACAACATGGTGTTTGAACGAAACAAGCGGGTTGTCTTCTCGATTAGTAACGAAACAAATCGCACATACCATCGCTTCGTCGGAGCCAGAATCAGAATTGTCATTTTTCTTCATAATCAATTTACGGCACGGTTCGCTTTCTTCATCTACTGTCTTATCACCACCATTCTCATCGACGAGGCTACTGCTTGGGCTTGCTTCACTAATTAGCCCCGAAGGTCCTGGTTCGTTAGTCTAAAAGAAAACACATTTTGATTCTAAGTGATTGAAATCAATTATTCTTCTTTTTAAGGAAAAATGAAAAAACTTTACTTACCAGGGCTGGATTTCCAAAGCCAAAAAAATCGACTATATCTCCGACATTGATAAGGTCAAAGGTAGGTACATCTCTAGAGGCCATTGTAAAGAAGAAGGATCGAGAAGAAGTGGCGAAATAAAAGACGAATAAGCAAAGCTTTAGGAATACTGTGTTGTAGTTCAGCGAACTGATAATTTTGGGCTGATTCTGGGTCTATATACATGTATACGTCAAAATAAGGAATAGCAATTGGGACGAAAGTTCCTTTTATGTTTAGTATATAGCTCTTATTAACCGAGTGCGAGGTCCGTACCGTAAGTTATGGACCGAGTTTTTTTCCACTGCCTTATGGCCCAAGCGCGTAGCGCGCGGGCCATAAAAAAGTGGAAAAAACGAGGATCCATAACTTACGGTACGGACCGAGCAAACAAGGTTAATAAGATATTTATTATATGGCAAGGCATTGAGATCAAAAAGAGGCGAAGCAACAAAAAGTAAAGTTGACAGCGCATGTCAAACGAAAACTGCATTGGAAGGGCTTCCTGTACGTGCCAAAAGTCATGTAGTGTTTGAGGCGCTCAAAAGGCGAAGTTTTAGTTTACTTTGAAATAATTTAGCTAAAGTTTAAAGTTTTCTGAAATACTAGTTAACAAAAGTGAGGCTTTATTTTGCAAAACATATAAATGCAAAGCAAAAAA